CCACCATCCCCAGAAGCACCGGAACCAGCAGCCACCGGCCTCAAGCGCAAAGGGGAAGGAGCGGGAACGAGGGAGTAGCAGGCCTCCAGATCTGGCAAGGACGAAGGCCCCCGAACTGTCGCCGCCAAGCGCCGACTCCCCACCACCCGAGCGGTCGAGGACGCCGGGCAGAGTCCCCGCGCACACCGTCCAGGGCGCGAACAGCGGCGCCGAACCAGTAGGAGCCGCCGCCCCGTGGATCTGGATCTCCGCGAAGGGATGACGAAGGCCCCGCCGCCACCTTCCTCGACAGCCGCGCAACGCATCGGCGGCTCCTCTGGTGGCGACGAGGAGAGGAAGGGTAGGGGAGGCCGGTGGCGGCGGCTAGGGTTAGCCGCCCGTGTCGCCCCTGTTGGAGCGACGCGGGGGCGAGGGGAACGGTTCTCCTTGAATACATGTGATCCGCTCAACAGAGTCACTTTTGGAACCAAATGCTGATGGCCGGCCAGTTGAGTTGCAAACTTTGCAATAAGTAGCAGGACTGGATTCTCCAGATGCATTACTTGACTTGGATCCACGAACTGCTGTTCAAGATGGGTGTAGGACATATTATAAAAAGTTGCTACTCGTAGGAGTGAGTAAAATCACCATCATTTGAGCTACCAGGATTAAGGTGGCTAGTTCTTGGTGGTCAGTCTCTCATTCTTCTGGTCTCCTTTCCTCGCCAGAGTTTCTTTTGCGACGACCTCTTCCCACTCCTTGTCATCCTTAAACATGTGATCTTCAAAGACTCTGCTGACACGGATTCTGCACCTGGCGAGCAAGTTGGTTGCGTTTTTAATGGAACACTCCAGAGCCTTCACCCTGCCTGGAGCTGCTTTGAAACAATTGATTTCGACCTCGAGCTGCGCAAGGCCTGGAAGATGCTCGACCCCCAAGTCTGCCAAAAAGTCAGACGCCAGTCATTGGGCTCAATTCAAGACGGAGACAACGGAGTGCTGGCATAGCACCTGGTGCGAATGTTAGCCGCAGTCCACCCGTGGGTTTCACTTCAAAAGCAGAACAGAAGAGTAAATACTGGAAGTAGAAGACCTTTAGCAGTTTGAATCCATCACTACCGGTGATCAGCTTTTCATTAATGGCCCCTCTTGTTATCCGAAGCTGCAGATGGGCCAGAGAAGGCATGCCCATGAGAACTTGGAGATCCTCCTTATCAAATGCCGTGACCATTATCCGTAGTTTCACCAGATTTTTGAGGGAGGTCATTCCCCTGGGAACCATTTCAATAGGTGACATAATTTTAAGAACTTGGAGGCACGGGTATGTGCAGCATGGGTTACAGAACAGACGCTTGGCTATCTCTTCACCAGTACGAAGATACCGAAGGTTGCATTTGCCCGACTCATTTACTTCCTCCGCAAATCTCACTGGGTCGTCAGTTTTTCGGAAGCGTAACTCCTCCAAGGCTTGCAGACTCCGGAACCCACTTGCAGGTAATTGTGTTTCACGGCTGACAAATAGGCGCACCAATTTCTGCAACTGCACCACAGTTGATGGCAGTCTTGCAAGTGAATAACAGCCTCTCAAATCCAGAGTCTCTAAGTGCTGCAGCTTTCTAATTTCACAAGGAAGCTCAGTATCTTACAATAGCCAATTCTCAAATACCTCAGCTGACGCGAACTACCTATATGTTTTACATGCTTGTTTTCCAACCGTTCACAATCTCCAAGATCCAACACCCGCAAAGCATGGAAGTCCACAAGGTGGGGTATCTGCTCAACTTGCCTAAACGTAGTCAGTGAGCGAACATGTAACTTGGTTTCTGTGACTGCACAAACTGCCCCTTGATGCTTTTCGCCACTAGCTTGTACGGACAGACGACGAATCTTACTTGGACAAGAATTGCATACACGTCCATTTAAAACAGTGGCAAAATTCTCTTCATCTGATAAAGATATGATAAGGTCAAGCACCATATCATGGACTCGACAATATTTCACAGTACCATCATCATCAATATGAGTTGGCTGGATCATATTTCTATTAACGAGTTCATTGATACAGTTCTCTGCTACCTCATCCAGACGTCCCCATCGTCTATCAAGGAATCCTTCAGCCACCCATTTCCATTTCAATTCTTTACACTGGATTTCCCAGTCCTCTGGATATATAGACATGTACAACAAGCAAATCTTCAAATGATGTGGAAGCTCCCAGTAACTAAGTAATAGTATATCTTTCATCACTTTTAAGTTCCCATCATTATCAAGCAAAGGACCAGTACCAATGGAATCTCGCAGTCTCTCCCATTCATCCTTCTTATGTGGCTTGTTGGCAAGCAAACTTGCAAATGTACTTATAGCCAGTGGCAGACCGCCACATTTTCTTAAGATCCCAGTGGAAACTTCTTCTAGTTCATAAGGACAGGGATCATCCGAGGAGAAAATTCTCTTGAAGAACAACTTTCGAGACGAATCGCCATCTAGAGGTACCATTTGATAGGGTTGACCGCCGGAGTTGGAACAACACTGATTAGCTACACCGGTAATGCGTGTAGTAGCAATTATTCTGCTACCATTGTTATTCTCAGGAAATGCTGCCTTGACTAGTTTCCAATCTTGTTCTTTCCATACGTCATCAATAACAATGAAGTACCTGCATTGAATAGTGTGCATTGTTAAGCATTGAAGTAGTAACTGTGATGACTTGCACTAGTAGCAATTAATTTGATAATGCCAAACAGATACATAAATGTTGTACACTTAATTTTCCAGTAACTTTTTTTGTATCAATCAAACTTATTAGAAGTATCTCACTGCATCCTCATGGTAAGTGAAAACAAAAGTATCTAAATCATATCAACGGATAAACAACTTTCCAGTGGTAGAAGAAAGATCAATTCTACTTTAAGTTTCAACCCTGAAATTAGTACCGTTTAAACGACAAATCCTCAACTATTAACATTGTATTTTAGCTTCTAGAACCTAAACACCCTGTGGGTGCGTGTTCATCCAGCCCACCCAACATTGGCATCTAATTGATGATTCATTAGATAAAGATAAGATATTTGTAGGCTTGTATTTTTATCCACGTTTCCTCTGTTCTCCCTGCTATTGTTGTGTGCATGGGAGGCCCTACCGCCCTGCTCATTCATGCACTGCCTCACACAACCAACTAGACAAAGCTGCCCTGCTATGCGATGAATTCTGATTGATTGTATCACCATGATGCCATGTTTAGAATAATTTTTTTCTAAAAGGAGTCAGGTAAACTTGCATTTTAGCTTGACAAACACACAAGAAAGGTTCACTTCGGTTCACCCCTCAGGACAAAATAGAAAGAAATAATAATAATGTTAATATACACTTAACAAAGGCCCGCCCTGTCGGCGCCTATTTCTGCCATGCACAATTTATCCCCATTTATATACAGTTATCCAACATTAGTTAATATACCAAAGTCTCTACTGTGTTTGCTGGTACTGTAGTCTGGAATTGAAACTTAAACTCAGGGCAAGTTTGGAGTTGAACTTGGTATATTAACTAACTGTATACAAATGGGGATAAATTGTGCATGGCAGAAATAGGCGCCGACAGGGCGGGCCTTTGTTAAGTGTATATTAACATTATTATTATTTCTTTCTATTTTGTCCTGAGGGGTGAACCGAAGTGAACCTTTCTTGTGTGTTTGTCAAGCTAAAATGCAAGATTGAGAATACTTTCAGATAAAGTCTTTCTGACTGACCTCTATAGAAAGCAAATTCATGATTGTAAATTTAAGAGTACTTACTGAATGTTTGTTTGTCACCAACTATGACTGGGTAGGCCAGTTTGAGATAAATGTGAAGACAATCTAGACGTTCAACGAACTAAACATACTCAAAACAATTGTGCATTTTTTAAGTGTATATTAACATTATTATTCTTTCTTTCTTTTTTCCTACTATGTAGGTTTTCTATTTTGTCCTGTGCGGTGAACTGAAGTGAACCTTTCTTGTGTGTTTGTCAAGCTAAAATGCAAATTTGAGAATACTTTCAGATAAAGTCTTTCTGCCTGACTTCTATAGAAAGCAAATTCATGATTGTAAATTTAAGATTACTTCTTACTGAATGTTTACTTATTACTGAATGTTTACTTATTACTGAATGTTTGTTTGTCACCAACTGTGACTGGGTAGGCCAGTTTGAGATAAATGCGAAGACAATCTAGACGTTCAACGAACTAAACATACTCAAAATTCAAAACAGCTGGAGCTAAGCATTTTTCCTCAGAAAAATGGAACTCAAGCTAGCCATTCGATCTTTCCTGTTTATAGTTGTTCCAAGTATTGTTATTAACTAATGTTGGATAACTGTATACAAATGGGGATATAATGAATAAACAAAACAATGTATACTTCGTACCTCTTTCCGGTCAAGATCTGTTTGGTTTCACGGATTAATTGTTCTTTTTCCCAACGCTTACTGTTGCCATAAGCATCTTTATCAATCTGAGATAAGATATCCTTCAAGAGCTTCTCTAGATCAAGAGTACGTGACACCGACACGAAACCTCGGCACTGGAAATCTCCTCCTAATCCAATTTTGCGATACACCTCCATTGCCAGGGTCGTCTTCCCCAACCCTCCGGACCCAACAATCGGCACTACTTTCAGCTCCATACTCCCATCCATCAACAAAGTAGTAACTTGCTTCACTCGATCGTCCATTGCCACCAAGTCCTTGACCTCCTCGTGAAGCGCGGTAATCCGTGGGTCAATCTCCACCGTCTTCGTTGGACTGTAGCAACTCTCGTCAAGCTTGTACCTAGTATCATTTTTTACAGTACAAACTAAATTAATCCCATGCTGCATCATCCAAAAATACATACAGTCGCAAGAGTTAGGTAAAATGTACGTACCTGTCACGGCGCTCGCTTTCCTCCATGACGCGAGCCTTGAGCTCCTTGATCTGGGTCGCGATGTCATGCCGCGCCCACCAGTCCTCTTCATGAACTTTGGTTTGGCGTCGCCGCTGCCAAACCGGTCCATGAAGCGGTCGATGCAGTCTTCCATGTCGTAGCTGAGGTCGCGCACGCTGTCCCTCCAGCTCTTGCCCAGACCATCGAGCCTCGCCTCCATGTCGGTCAGCCTCTCCAGCAGGACCTGCATCCTGCCGAGCTCGCGTTTGAGGAACTCGATCTCCTTGCGGACCCTTTTGAGCAGCTTGTACTCGTCGCCGAGCAGGGCGGTGAGCTTGCCGAGGAGGGAGCCCATCGCACCTGTGCCGGCGCTCACCCCCGCCATCTCTAGATCTCCCTCGAGCAAGTCGGCTCCCTCCCCCAAGGCCGGCCGGGGTTCTCTCTAGCTCTCGTCTCGGTTCTTTGATGAAGAAGGTGGGCTAGCTAACTGCTTAGGAAGAGACGAAGAAGCTGCTGAGATCTGGTGCCATGGCTTGCGTTGGTCTTTTGGCGGAGGAGGAGGAACAGAGCACCGGCGTCGGCGTTGGGACTGCGCGTCAATAATGGAGGCTTGCTGCTGCTGCGGTGCAGTGCAGAGTGCAGTGTATGTGAACGCACGTGACGATGGGACTCGTGCTGCCTGCTTTATGACTCCGTCCTAGCTACAGTAGTTGTTTGCATCTGCATTATAGCTGATGCCCGTCCTAGCATATGCATTGTTAGCCCCAGTGGGTTTAAAATCCACCCGTGTTATCTAATCCCTCCATCCGGGTTTATTAGTCCTATCGTGATTTGTGTCTAGCGTTGCCCACACAACACAAGGCTCCTTTTGGAGGCACCACAGTAGTCCGCGTCATCAAAACTGTTTAGATTGTTAGATCTGTAACTTTTGACTATGATTATTAAATTGTTGTTTTTCAGGTGAGATCCATAGTTATACTATAGTTGTGCATTCCTGATAGGCTCACCCGCGCCCAATTCAGCCCATTGGCTTCCGTTTGCAAGCTTAAAAGAAAACCAACCGATCGTTTCTTTGGTGGAAAACTGACCGATATTTATTACGTAAGAGTTAGGCTTCGCAATATACGTTGGGGTTTCCCTTCTGTTTTTATTTTTTATTTCAATTTTATCTTTATTATTTCGCTATTTTATAACTGTTTCTATAATTCTCTTTTCAAAAAACTACACGATTTTATACTAAACAGGTGGAATTCTGTTTATCTATTTAAATAAATGTTTGTGCATATATAACAACATGCTCGAAAATATTCCAATACATATTTTTAAAATACTTTGGGTTAAAATAAGTTTATGTGACTAAAAGTATCTATTGTGCATTTAGAAAATTCATCACTAAAAATTGTTCAACATTATCTAACAAAATATTCTTTGTTTATTTAAGAAATATTCAGAGTGTTCCTAGAAAAAGTTCAACTTGTATTATAAAATGTTTAAAATATTTGAATAAAAAATTAAAATCATTAAAAAAGTTCAGTCATTAAATAAAAAATGCCCAACATGATTTAAATAAAAGTTCAATGTGTATTAATCAACATCAAATATTATTTAAAAATATTGTTCGTCCTATATTGAAAATATGTTTAATGTGTATTTCAAAATGTTGAAGTGTTTCAAGTAAATGGTTAACTTGTATTACTAAATGTTCAACATTATTTCCAAATGTCCTTCATATATTTAAAAATGGTCAGTGTGTATTTCAGCAAAATATTCTAAAGTTTTTCATAAAATATTCACGTGTAAAAAATGATAAATTGATAAGTGTGAAAAGCAAAAAATGGAAAGTGAATAAAAGGAAAATGAAGGGTGAAAGGAAGACAAAGAAAAAACAACCGAAAGATACACGAAATAAAAATGAAAACTGAAACTAGAAATAGGAAAATGGAGGATAAAAAGGAAAAGAAGCAAAACAAACTGGAGAGAGAACAGCGAAAGACAGATGAAGAACAAACTTTGTTCCTTATTCGACCGGCCCACTCGCGGGAGGCGGTAGGCCATCACTATAGCTTGCAATTTCAGTTTGGATGTGAATGTGAGGAGGTACATAACCAGGATGTTGCTCAAGGAAGGTAATTGTGGGCTATAAATTATGAACTGATGTGTGTATACATGGATGAGTATACACATATGATAAAATGACAACCACACTCATAAAATACATGAAAAATATAAATGAATAAAAATGTATTAAATTTAAATTGCTTACCAAAATTCTCCCATTAAATAAGTAATTACATGATTTGGTGTGCTTAATTTTTTTACCATATCATATGAAGTGAACAAGCACTGAAATAAAGGAATAAGGTGCACAAGGCACATGAAGTTGCCTATATTGTTACAAACCATGTGGGGAAGTCATAATCATATTCTTAGAGGAAACAAATAAAGGTTATTATGTAGATCTAAGGTAAAATATAAAATTTTGAAACTATTGCAACATTTTAAAGGACATGACGAGAAAAAATTCAGATATAACTGAACATCCTAGAAATATTTTTAAAACTAGGACATCCATTTGATGGTTGTTTCTTTTTAATCCAGAGAATCTTCTTTAGAGTAATTACATAGACATTATCGGGAAAAGGAAATGGTGGGCTATAAATTGTGAAGTGGTTTGTGGAACTAATATATATGTATACATGCATGGGTATAGACCAATAATAAAATGACAACCACACTCAGAAATACATACGTAAAATGGATGCAATGAAAATTATTTACTAAATGTTCCCCTTAAATAAGTAATTACAACAACTCAAAAAAATTAAATAAAGGATTTGGTGTGCATAATTTTCTTTACCATATCATATGGAATAATAGGTGAAATAAAGAAAAAATCCACGAAATAAAGGAAAATTTTCAGGCAATGTGCACAAAGGTGCGTATGTTGTTACAAAGTATGCGTTTGTTTGAAACTATCACAATTTATTGAAGAATAATACAACAAAAACAGATATAACTAATCATCCCATAAAAATATGAGAACCATGATATCTCCATTTGGCGGTTGTTCTTTTTAATCGAGATATCTCCATAGGTGTAATTACATAGACCACAACTAATAGATCATCATGATGCAACTAGACATGTTAGAAATGAATATCCATGTCGTATGACGAAGCTATAGGTAGTGTTTACAACTGACTAGAGAGCATATATTGGTTGTGCCATTGGATTTGAAAAGATTATGATCACACAAATTAAAATCAGTAATGGGTTACAACATGAGAGAACTATAACATCCCAAGGCACTATAGCCATGTTAAATGAAAATAGTTCATACTAGCGTGAGTGTAGGAAGGATGATTTGGATTTTAAGAGTGGGAAATATCTAGTACAAAGTGAATGAAATTAGATAGAAAAGAAACATAATGTGCAATTATAAAGAACAATACCATTCTATTCGTGTTGGGAAATACTTCAAACTTTTTAAAATGATCCTATAAAAAGTTATATTCAAAGTTGCATGTTGGATATCATGCCTAGGTTTAAATGTCATGTGTTACAAAATAATGGACATGCATTTCAAAACAAGTGGAGGAAATGACGCTAAGGAATAAATATATGGAAATGGTAAAACAAAAATCCTAACTGATTATTGGGTCTATATGTCATTGAGGAGAATTTTGATTCACCTTACATGTGCTTACTCTAGAATGATACACACAACATCTCCTAAAGACTAAACATGCAGGTGTGAGAACAAACGGCCTCACTAGACCACACACCCATCTGTTTCTAATAATATATAGGTTAATATCTAGCAACGACCAACGATTCGTGATTATATCACTCATACATTTTGAACAGACTACTAGGATGATGCCCTCAAATTCGCGAGGCCATCTTGCTAGTTTAGTTAATAACGGGAGAAAAAATTAATTAACTTCCCTAGCCTAGGCTAAAATATAAACCATTATTTAATTAATGATCCACAAGAATTTTTCCCAATAGGAAAGAATGATGCTTTGAATCATACCGTCTTTGCAAAATGATTACAATTTAGTTTGCGGCTTCATGGTTCCATTCTCACCTCCATGCCAGGATCAATTGAGAGAAAAGAAAAAGATGTTTTGGAATGGGGCTATCTCAGCCCATGTAGGGGAGAAACAAAAAACATATTATTTTTCGTTGATCCATAACTGAATCAAAGAAAGAAAAAAGTGTGGAGCAGCCTAGCTCGGCCCACGTGTCGGAGAAACAGAAACGTCGCGTGGTCCATTGGGAGATAGATGATGGATGAAACTAAAATTGGAGGGAAGAATCATTCCTTCCTTTAATATTGATATATACAATAATTAGTATATAATATTGATATATAATAATTACTATATATGAAGGTTTTGAATTTGTGAACATTTTTTGAATTGATGAACTTTTTTTTGTATTCGCGATTATTTTCTGTTTTTGTGAACATTGTTTTAAAAATTCATGAACATTTTTTGAATTCGTGAAATCTTTGTTAAAATTCAAGAACATTTTACTACTACTCAAACATTTTTAAAGGTTCACGTTTTCTTTTGAAATTTGAAATTTTTCTGAAATACCAAATTATTTTCAAGAAGAAAAAGATAAAATAAATAAAAAGCAAAAACAAAATAAGAAAACTGGTGTTGTCCCTCACCGCTCATGGGCCAGCCCAACAGAGCGCACAGGTTTCTGAAACTTTTTTCAAAATTCACATTTCCGTTTGAAAATTTGAAAAATTCCTGAAATCTCAAATTATTTTAAATAAGGAAAAATAGCCAAAATGAAATAAGAAAACAGGGGTTCCCCACTAATGGGCCGGCCCAAGAGGGCGCATGGTAGGAAAGCATATAAATAGAGTGCTTCCTACCTTTTGTCTAGCAGTATGTTTGCTAGGTGGACTGGTTGGCATTGTGCGGCTAAATCTAAACGGACAGGGTTTGAGTCCGATATAGAGCATTTTAAAAAAAAATATTGTAAAACACCGACGGAAGAAAAAACGTAAAACGTACTAAAAACATGTGATGGCCAAAAAAAGTGGAGAAATAATTCCTCCTTTAATATTAGGTATAGATGTATAGGTTATATGTATTAAGAATAATACCATCTGAAACTTCTTTTGAGTACAAATCCAATGATATAAAGTCTGTGGTATGTAAGTTATATTTTTCTAGTTAAATATATTGTGAAATACAACCCAAAGTACGAGGCGGGCTTATAAACCCAGATGCATTAAGTGGGATCTAAGGGAATGATACATTGGGTAGCAACATATGGGCTTCGACGTGCAACGATTTCTTCTTACTGATGACACTGAGCAACCTCCCGTAAAATAAATTTACAGATGTTTGCACTCCCACT